CTACCGATCGCGGTTCACAATTTCAGTGTAATCTCTTCCGTGAGTTTTCTACACTATTCGGCTTCCATCACATATCGACTACCGCGTATCATCCCTGTTCCAACGGTCTGGTTGAGCGTTTCCATCGATACCTCAAAGCTGCATTGACTGCCCAAATGAACCCTTCTTCATGGTCCTCTTCTTTCCCTCTCGTTTTGCTTGCTTTCCGCTCCACTACTAAGGAGGATCTTCACTGTTCCCCAGCGGGACTGGTATACGGCACAACTCCACGTCTACCCGGTCAACTAGTTTCCCATTCTGGCACACAGCCTGGATCACTCGTTACATTCGTCTCCCGACTGAAACAACACATGTCCAAACTTCGTGCGACACCGACCAGACGATCAACGCGAACAGAACACATCTCAGCTATCTCTCTTCTACATCTTTTGTGTTTGTCCGACATGACGCAACGAGGAAACCCCTCTAACCCTGTTATGATGGCCCCTTCAGGGTTATCGAACGTCGCTCCAAATACTTTGTTTTAGAGAGAAGCGGAAACCATGATACCGTCTCCATTGATCGTCCGAGACCTGCCTACATTGAAGCACCCACGACCACATCCAGCAATCCTGCTATCCCAACAACACCCACACCTACCCAAGATATCCCACCCGCCAACCTCACTCCTTCCACTAGTCGTTCCGGACGTCGCGTCCGTTTCCCTAAGCACTTAGCTGAGTAGGAAACTTGAAGTGAGAAAATTTGTGATTCGTTACTTTATTTATTCTAGCGTTTGCTCTTTTCACAGTCAACGCTCTAGTGGGGGAGTAGTGTGGTGGTTTGTACCTTTATTTTACTTCCATTATAACACTACGTATTTCATGAATTGCACAATCGTTTTTTGTTTGAATACGAAAAACTACAAAAACGCGCACTTGTACAATTTCACATAATACAAGCGTGGTCACGCGCTTCGCCTCTCTCTTCTGATTTCGCTCGCGCTTGCAGCGGACATTCGCGAGTCTCATGTATTAACTCTGGTACCAAACAATTTCAGACATCTTCGGAATCTATTATATGTGGGAACTGTTCAGAAGAAGACCTCTGGACCAACATAATTGGATTATTGTCTATTCGCTGACCTGGGCCAACGACGAACTATTTTAAAGAGAATAATTGTTAGTGAGTCTGTACCATCTGACCTCTTTATTTTTGTATACCCAACATAGCGCAAGTATTTTTATTTCTTTGCCACACACTCGTGGTAAACTAACTTGTTGGGTTGCCAGACCACTACACATTCCTTCTCATCCTTGAATACATACTTAAATATCCGAAACACTTGAAACAGCGCTCAAAGCTACTAATATGCGATAAAAATTCTGAAAAATGAGATGGCCTTATCCAACCAGGTCCACCTGCAGGTTGGGGGAGTTATATGCGCGATAGAAAGCTAAAGGCTTGGGAACTCGGATTACCAGAGAACACATCTGCGCAAAGATTCGTACGGTGGCCAGGACAAAAAATAAATGTGGGATTCTCTCCTCGCACTGATGATCAGACGGTACAAATACCGAAATTTTATGTATGAACAAGCTATTTTCACTATGAGTACGATTATATAATTATATATATATATGTATATATATAATGGTGTGTGGGTACAGACGGAAACCTGCGGTAAATAACACCCTAATGGAGACTTCAGACTGAATAAAATCTCACGCAGAGGTAGACGAGATAACACCAGTAGGCAGCGGTGGCAGATGGGGCACACATTTGCGTGACGGTTACTCCGTTGGTAAGATCAGTTATGTGGAGTGTGATGGCTTCCAGTGGATCCTCTCGGGGATACGCTTGCCAACCTTCGGTAGGTGTTTCGCTTTTAGACGAAAAAACTATATAGAAGGTGGTAGGTTTATGGACATTTTTTAGAAACAAAGGCACTACAACAGGGGTTGCTTCATGTGATCCGGATTCCAACGGCTTGTTGTCGGTCGTGGTTTGGCACGCAGATGATGAGCGTGAGGTGGGCGACATTCCTCTGGTTTGCCAAAGCGGGTGCATATTTAAAAGGGCTAGGTGATGTTCCCTGCTTGGAGGATTAGCAGGTCCATCAGATACGGCATTCGGTGGTCATAGAGGGGAGGTCGAGGTCGGGAAGGAGGACATATTCAGAGCTTGTAACGGAACTGATAAAGAACTTGGGTTCAACAACCGGTCCTCGAGGAAATCCACAAATGGTGTGGAACTGACAAAATGCTGCTTCACAGGCTGGGTATGAAGGAGAGTGAACAGAAAGAGCCTCTCGGGGATGCCTCAGAATTGGAGCTTTGATTCAACTGCTTTCTGATCTCAGTGACATTCAAGATGTTGGCAAATAGGTCTGTTGGACCGAATGAACATGAACGGAAAAGAAAGAATGACAGAGGCCGACTGAACCGAACGAAGAACTGCAGGGATCGACTTGTGATCCACCCTACGAGTTTATATGAAACGGACGGTAGTTTCTTGTCTATAAGTGCTACAGTTGCACCGCTCTCGCTCTTAAACATGGAGCGCATGGTCCCCTGTTTGTAAAATGAAAGAACCGTAGAGTAAATCAACTGACGGATGCAGTTAGGATGTCCTTTGTATTTATGAGAGGTATGTGACGAGTGCTTTTAAGGGCGCTGACACCATCCGATAAAGTTGACGAATACTTCAAGTTTCATTGATGATGGCTGTCCATCAAGAGTTGTTAGGCAGAGTTAACGAGGCTCCCCCACCCCTGTAGTCGTAGATATCGGAACAACAGCTTTGGCGGGTTCCTAGCGCTTGTCGCAGGCTGAGCGTCTTATCACTGCTGTTGGGTTTGCGAAGCTCAAAAGATTCTGAGACATTGTTCTAGATAAGTAGCTTCCAGATTAGGCCGAGACGAAAGAGAGGGCTGGGAAATGAGCTTAGACTGGAGCTCTTCCAGGATCCTGGTTGTGATGTAGCGGTGATGGTTCTCACGGCACGGGTCTTAGAGCCGTGGCCAGTTGACGAAGCTAAGGTGATGGGTGGCTGCAGCACATTCACTTCATATTTTGACCTCACCAACCATGGGGCGCCCATTCGTAAAAATCAAGTTCAAGTTATTTGTCGCACACCAGCGTTGTTTATTCTTTGGTATCACTGATACCATCCACTGATGCCAGTATCGGGTAAGGTGACCTGAGGAAAACATGTCTAAAGAAATAAACATTTTGTGCTTGATACGGGCACGGCTATTTAAGATGTATGCCAGTGACGATTAGTTTGTTGAAAGCGATTGGCAACTAGCGAGACAAACTGAACCGTTGTGGGGCTAGAGGGATACAAGAGGGTGAGAGACACATAAATGGGAGGGGGAATATTGTATGTTTGGGTGGTCGATATATTTTAGCTGCAGTATAAAAAGGGTGCACTGCGATGCATGCGTACGTCAAGAATGCGACTGAGGAAGAACTCAAACAGGTGTGTGAACTGACATGCAGAAAGTTGAACGAAGGGAGCTAGGAGAATACTGAGTGTCAGGCTGACTCCTCGGATGAATTAATGAAGCGGAGACGGACAGTTCGAGGCGGCCGATCGTAAGAGGATTTTAGGCACAGAATGACTCGGAGTTGAATGGATGTTTCCTTAGTGTCCCTATGGCGATCTTCCTCCCGGTAGTATGAGCAGCGTGCAAAACCGTACTTTCGAAGTCTGTGGTGTAAGTGAGGATTTTGGTGCTCACTGCTGACTTAACTGCTTCATTGAGAATTGCTTTACAGTCTGTGTCCTTGAAGAGTGAGGTCATGAAGCGCTTTTGGTGCTCCTGGAGAGAACGGTTGTCGAGACCGAGGAAATGCGTTTCAATTCTTCTCGCCTCGAAATTGCTTAGGGAAGCGAAAGATCTGTCAAATAATAGTTTGGCTTTTACTGAAGCATCAACTAAGGCCAGCGAAGCGCTTCTAAATTAATGTCACCAGAGGTTACCCGTCCAGCATCCACTCATTCCTGGGTTCATTTAGCTTGCTGCCATCCTATTTTAAATTTCTCCATTGACACCTTTTTATCTGATGCCTCCTGGTAATAACCAAACGCTACTACTCTCATGCTATTCCATCCTTATTCCCCCACTCCAAAGTTTCAATATTCGGCTGTAGTTGCCCAGCCACCCCGTACAACCGCTATCCATTCAATTTGGATGGTTCCCGGCCTATACTCACATGGTCCTCCGACTGAAAGAAAATTATCCGTTACTCTTCATCAGCCCAAATTTATCCGTGTAAATCGCCTCGTCTAGCCCAGATGTAGCTGCTACAGGAATGCGTATCCTCTCTTCAATTGAAGCAACCTTGGCGACCTCTATGAGGGTGTCCATGAACCGAAGTATGTAAGTGAAATAAGGGACTGGCACTGCCATACCATCACTGCCAATGTGGTGGCGCTCCCTTAACTTTTTTCTTCAGAATATCGACGCAGCCTGTCACATACTCAAAACTGTAATTTCAACCACGAGTAAAGTTTTCACTTGGCTCCAACCATCTCTGGGACGCTTTCATCCTAACCCGACAAACACTTCGTTCGAGTTTAAACAGCCTGATTTTTGCGCTATTTCGGTTTGCGTCTTCCGCAATTTTAACTTCATATGCGGTGTTCGTTTGGCCATATGCATTGGCACTATCTATCCTTTAGACCTGACTTCTCTACACTAGTAACACAAGTGAACCTACTTAGTTTCAATGCAAACCATATATTGAGACGAAACTAACCACCTGTCTTCACTTCTAATTCTTCCATCTCCATCTCAATTTTCCTTTTTTTGTTCCTGGCCATTTGCTTAACGGCCCAAGACCCCTCATGACATGCATTTATTTTCGGTTTAAGTTTATACCATTGATCTAACCTCAACCCATGCCCATTGTTCTTGTCTTTTGTTTCCGACAAACAACCTGTTTTTTATTTACAAGCATGGTTGCACCTTCCCGCCCATTTTGTTTTTGCCGGCCGCGTTCAGGTTGTAACGACCTAGTCGTGCATCAATCGGCATGATCCGAACAAGTTAGGAAATAAATCTATTACTATTAATATAGCAGTCAGCTAACCCAGGACTTGTTTGAAGCGGCTTCATTGGCTCAAACCAACTGATCTCGGTGGATTGCCACGATTCTCATCTACGTCATGCGGCGCTTCTGCAAAAGGTTCATCATCATAATCGAAAATCCCTTCACGATCACATTCCGTTCACCAGCACGACCTCAATATAATTTATTCGAGTTGCTTTCCTGGAAGGCTTTTAATGCCCAGCGTAACTTTCGCCTGTATCCCGAGGCTGCCGCTGCCAAAGGGCTTTGTCGAGTGAAACCAAGGTGTTACCACCTTGCTTGCCATCTCCCTCCTTTAATGTACGTAGGTCCAGGAAATCTTCCTCCCACCCTCCAACGAAATATAGAAGTTTGTGACCTACTTGTCAACGTTCTGCTTCACAGGTCATCGCTGTTTAGTCCCTCCCCTATTGCCCTAGCGAAGGACAAACAGCATCCTCCTCTCGCATACCGATCCCAGTACCATACCTACTCCTACAAAAAAGCAATTCTGACACCTCAGACAAAAAAGGATTTGTATTCTTCCACTCTCCAGGTCCTATTCTTACACATTTACACCTCATTGTGGCTGCCTCATTGTGGCTTCTTGTTCCACCTATCTGAATGTAGCTCTATCTCCATGTGGTCCCCTGGAGGCGGCACCACCGTGGCTAGAGACTATTATGTCTCCATTGTGCGCCCATCAACTGTTGTCTTAACACCTCCAAAATTTTCTCAATTCATAATCTGCGGATCGGAAAACTAAGACGCGGGCCACCAACATACTCCCTGGTCCAAGTGAAAGCCTTTTGAAACGTATTCACAACCTCGACCCCTGCCACTCACGTCCAGCTCCGTATGTTCGATAGCATGGCTTGTCTAATGCTTGAACCAGCCTTTTCTGTCAACAGCGTGGGTAACTTCATACCAAGCAATACACATCTGCGTTCTTCCTCTTGCACCTACACGCAATACAAAATGCGCAATCTGCGGGGCACTCGAGCTTCATACATACCCACCTAGTACTACCCACAAGAAGCTCACAGTTCTATTAGTGACATTCTTGCCACACTTGCTTCCAATTTAACATAACCCATGAAAGGACCCTATGGTGCATGACACCTTGTCCAGTAAGTCAAATAAAGTTTTTTCAGAAATAGCCTAAATCGTACCTCGCTTATCTATATGCCCTGTAATCCCTAAAGAGACCTGGTTGGGGTGAACAGTAACAGTGATCATTGATCAGACAAATGTTGATCTGTTGGCCGAGCTGGGCAATCGACTTTATAAATTGCGTCTACTTGAACCGTTTAAGAGAACTCCCAGTCAGCGGATCAACTCAAGAGGTAAGAGATGCACTTTTGAGGCTATATGCACGCCTGTGGGTGAGCAAAAGGTAACTAATCAATCGCGCAGTAATTATTTTCCCTATTCGGTAACAAAACATGTCAGCAGCCACTTGGTCAATAACCAATAAATTACCTTGACCATTGATACTTCTATACGCTGCCAGCCGTTGTCACCAATACCTCAGAACCCTGTGCTTAAAGAGACCTCCAAGGAGGTCTTGCCACCTCGCCACCTCTGGGATCGCGGGGGTATGACCTAGTTCGTCATGGCTGTCTCAGATATGCTTAAACTTTTCTAATCGACATCCTCTTCTATATATTATATATATATATATATCAGCCCTCTTTCTTATTCTTTACCTCAGAAAAACAGTTTGTTCGCTGAATGTCCTCAAGCTTTACCTGATAAAAATGATATTCAGATATCATTTTCTGCAATCGTTACTCAATCTCACACATTCCAGCATCATGACCTTGAAAAGTGCCAGTGACCCTGCAATTAGCTGGAACATTTTTCTCCTCCTAGCTTCGGTCTAGTCTCCGTACTTCTAGGCTCATCCAAATCAGGACGATAGAACTAGCATTCCACCGTCCGACCAGGATCTGAATAGGCTGCTGCGAATCAACCCCATCCTAGCTATTGGCAGTCCATTCATGTTTATAAGGTCTGAGGTTTCGCCTGACATTATTATTATTAATTATCTGTATGAGTTATACTATGATAATATTAGGACTGTTTTGTGGACACAAGAAGCCATCCGAACTTCATAAAGTGGATGGTCCCACGCCACTGGTTCCCTAATAATTTAAAATATGAGATGGCACAACAGGTTCCTATAGTCTTCAGGCTGTTTGCCTCTTTAATTATACCTTCAGAAAAACAAAAGCGTTCTCACACTATTGCTGCGAGTTGCTGAACCGAAGATGAAAGACCTGAGGTCAGTATTCCAAACTTTCCGTAGTAAAGACTCTGAGGACTGCATAGCGGTCCTTAGGGAAATCACTGCCTCATCCAAGTCCGACCAAAGGCAGAATTGGACGCAGTTTCTAACATGAGCATGAACATGCAACAAATTTAACTCCGGTACCACAAGTCTAAGTGGAGAAGGAAACAGTCACTTCATTTATAAGGGCGATCCAGTGACAGACCAATGCGCAGCCCGAACACTAGCCAATGTCTATGCAGCTTCACTCACCCCTGACTGAAGCTCCTTCATGCGCATATAATATTCATGCCTACCAGTTGAGCTGTTTGACCGAAGGCATTGTAAAAGCATTGTAAAGCTTGCTTTCGCATCTCCTCGGATGACATGAAGAGAGTCGGCAGCTACTATGTACACAAAGGATAGGGTCGCCACAACATGTAGGGATGTCATCAAGTTAGCACTACTTACACTCTTCACGCTTGTGGAAAAGTTCGTAAGCAGGTTCATTTTGAAGTAACTTATTTTCAAGAGACAACATTATCCAGCTCAGCGTGGCGCTTCGCCCTGGTATTCTGTGTCAACGACTTAGCACAGTCTTCTTTGATTGTCCGTGAGTGTTAGTGCTTCCATTAACCATTTTTTGCTTCTTTCGTGTCTTTGACACCGTGACGCGTATACTGCTCATCCGCCGCTGAAAATCTAGGGATTTCAAACCCTCCATCTTGCTGGTTTATAGTTTTCATTAAAAAACGTTCAGTTAAATTGAATGACGCTAATACGGTCTGTCCGTCAACTAACCTCATAAACGCCACTCTCCCCTCAGAGGAGTGATAATGAGACGAAAACGACTCTTGATTTTTATAGACGGTTCCTGTGAACAGCCTATGCCTAAGTTGATGACCCAATTATGTGGTCTATATTTCAAGCGGCACCGATGTGCACCCAGCTACCTAAGAGGATTCGGCGTATTCCGGAAAAGTGGTCTCAACTATTTTTCCAAGAGATAACTATGGATGACATAGAACATGAGCTGGCATTTCGTAAAATATGGAGCCACTGTAAATAAAAAATACGAAAGTAAGCCAAGAACTTTTTATCTTGTCTGGGAAAAAAAACAAAAATTTGCTATT